CAGATGTGCCCGAGATCCACCCGCGTGAGCGGGACACCCCCCAGATGTTTTACAGCACTCCCAGATGTGTCTGAGAGCCCCCAGAGGTGCTGGAGACCCGTCCAGGTGGTTCTGGGAGCCCCCAGATGTGCCGGGCACCTCCCCAAGATGTGCGAGGGTGCTGCCAGATGTGCCCGGGAGGCCCCAGCTGTGCCAGAGATCATCCAGATGTGCCAGAAATCCCCCCGGGGATGTGTCGGGGCTCCCTCGGTGGTGCCGAGACCCCTCCCAGATATTTCTGGAGCCCCAGATGTGCCCGAGCAACCCCCAGATGTGCCCAGATTTTGGGGAGGGGGTGGCATTCGGGGGTTCCCCACCACGACCCGGGCTGGGGCGGGCCGGTGACCCCCAGACCGTGTCCCCAGGTGGGGACATCGCCGTTCCTGGAGCTCCCTCCCCCTTTTCCCATCCGGCCGCAATCCCCTGCAGGATTCGGACCCCCGCCGGGATGAAAGGGTGGCGGGGACGAGGGAGGGGACAATGGCCCGGGTCACAACCCGACACCGCAGCCACATCAAAGGCCGGCGGCGCCGCCACCACCCCCCGGCTCCCCCCGAGGGGGGCTTTGAGGGCCCCTTTATGGGGGCGATTCGCATTTCCAACCCAGAGCCGCCTCCGTGACCCCTGGCGTCCCCAAATCCCTGGAATCCCGCTCGTCCCGGCCACTCACGCGGTGACAAATTCCAGCACGGCGGCCGTGGTGTCCCTGGCGATGGCCTGGATGGCCGGGATGTCGCGACAGCCGTAGGTGTTCCCGCAGTGGGCGTAGACCCCCACCAGTGTCACCCGCTCCGGGGAGCCCAGGGCGATGGCGCGGGCCAGGCCCAGAGCCTCGGGGTCCGAGGGACGGATCCCGGCTGGGGAGGGGACGTGGGAAGGGGTTGGAGGGGGTGGCTGGGACAGGGCCCCCACGGAGCGTCCTGGAGGTGGGAATGTGGGAGTGGGGTTGGGAAGGACGGGGATGGGGCTTTGGGGTCGCTTCTGGCCTGTTTTTTGGGCTGGGAAAAATGACTTTGGAGGGGTTGAGATGCTCCATTGTGGGTGGGATGGAGGATCTGAGGGACACAGGGATCCCTTCCCATGGAACATCCTTAAATAGCAATTTTGGAGGGGCTGAGATGCTCCATCATGATTGGGATGGAGGCTTGGAGGGAAGTGGGGATCCCTTCCCATGGAGAATCCTCAAATAACAATTTTGGAGGGGTTGAAATGCTCCATCGTGGGTGGGATGGAGGATCTGAGGGAAGTGGGGATCCCTTCCCATGTAACATCCTTAAATAACAATTTTGGAGGGGTTGAGATGCTCCATCGTGGTTGAGATGGAGGATCTGAGGGCTTGGAGGGACACGGGACATCATTCCCTGAGGAACATCCTTGATTAACGACTTTTGGGAGGTTTCAATGTCCCATCCTGGTCAGGATGCCGGAGCTGGGATCACTCAGAGCATCCCAGCCCGGAGCCCACCCGGGCTGACCCCCCCTGGGGACAGGACACCACGTCCCCTCCCCACACCCCAGGCTGGGATTTGGGGCTCACCTACCCCGGCCATTCCCGCAGTCCAGCTTGAGCCAGACGAGCCAGCGCTTCCCGCCGGCAAGGGGGTTCTGCAGGAGCAGCTCCAGCCCCTGGGGGCTGTCCAGGAGCACCTGGAACTCCTGGAGGCGCTGGGCCAGCGCCGAGCACTCGGCCAGGCGCCAGCGCGGCACCGGGAAGGCGTAGAGGATGTCATCGAAACCGCCGGCCGCGAAGAAGCGCGCCTCGGCCAGCGTGGACACCACGATGCCACGGCGCGTCCCACCCGTGGCCAGAGCCGCCCCTTCCCTGGGAACCGGGATGGAGGGAGGAGGAGGGTGAGGGATACCGGGAGGATGGTGAGGGATACTGGAGAGGATGGTGAGGGATACTGGGAGGATGGGGAATACCGGGGAGGATGGTGAGGGATACCAGGAGGATGGTAAGGGATACTGGAGAGGATGGTAAGGGATACTGGGAGGATGGTGAGGGATACTGGGGAGGATGGTGAGGGATACTGGGAGGATGGTGAGGGATACTGGGAGGATGGTGAGGGATACTGGAAAGGATGGTGAGGGATACCGGGAGGATGGTGAGGGATACTGGGGAGGATGGGGGATACCAGGAGGATGGAGAGGGATACCAGGAGGATGGCGAGGGATATGGGGAGGATGGTGAGGGATACTGGGGAGGATGGTGAGGGATACTGGGGAGGATGGTGAGGGATACTGGGAGGATGGTGAGGGATACTGGGGAGGATGGTGAGGGATACTGGGAGGATGGTGAGGGATACTGGGAAGGATGGTGAGGGATACTGGGAGGATGGTGAGGGATATGGGGAAGATGGTGAGGGATACTGGGGAGGATGGTGAGGGATACCAGGAGGATGGTGAGGGATACTGGAAAGGACGGTGAGGGATACTGGGGAGGATGGGGGATACCAGGAGGATGGAGAGGGATATGGGGAGGATGGTGAGGGATACTGGGGAGGATACTGGAGAAACTGGGGGATACCAGGAGGATACTGGAGAAACTGGGGGATACTGGGAGGACAGGGGCAATGCTGGAGAAGGATTTCGGGGTGAGGATGGGGAGATACTTTCGGGGAGAACCAGGTGAAGGTTGAGGGGTACAGTGGGGACACGGAGGGACGCAGGAAGATGCCGGAGGGGTTTTGGGGAGACCCCGGCGGGAGCTGGGGGCGCTGGGGTCTCACTCACAGCGTTTTGTGGGTTTTGACGTGGGGCCGCAGGCGCAGCCCCAGCGCCCGGCAGCGCTCCCGCATCCGCTCGGCGTTCCCGTGCAGCGTGGCCCGGTCCAGGATCAGCGCCGGGGTGGGCAACTGCTCCAGGGGGGCTCCCAGCCACGAGCTGGGAATGTGGGGAGGGCGTGGGAACCTGCTGGGAACCCCCCGAACCTAAACCCACCCTGAGCCCCCAAACCCGCCCGTGCCCGTCCCTGTCCCCAGCGGGGGTTTGGGTGGTGGCCCTTCCTCCTAGGGCATCATCCAGGGGATTCCTGGAGCAGGTGGATACCGGGACATTGGGGACAGCCTGGGACATTGGGGACATCGGGGACAGCCTGGGACAGCCTGGGACATCGGGGACAGCCTGGGACAACCTGGGACATGGGGGACAGCCTGAGACATCGGGGACAACCTGGGACATCGGGGACAACTTGGGACAGCCTGGGACATTGGAGACAGCCTGGGACATCGGGGACAACTGGGACAGCCTGGGACAGCCTGGGATATTGGGGACAGCCTGGGTCACCTTGGGTAACAGGGACACCTGGGATTGGAATCTATGGAACAGGGAGTGGGAAACCTGGGAGT